GAATAACTTAACATCAACAGCACAATTTTCTCGTATCCTCTATATGTCCACGACCATCTTACCATCGAGATGGGTGACTTCCTGGTAAAAGGCCTTGAAATGCTCATATGAATACTTCACATCATCAACAGCACAAATTTCTCGTATGCTATGCATTGACAACTGCGGAGCACCTACATCAACAGTGCGAATACCTACGCCACTAGCAAGAATAGGACCAATGGTTGAACCACAAGACACGTCGTTGCGCACCACAAAGTCCTACATACATCAACATACCTCGTTATACTTATAATCCAAGCTTTAGTGTTATTTCTGATGATAATTTAAAACAGGTAATAACTTCGCTCATTGAAATACTACAGATACGAAAGTAGAGAAGGCTTTTCTCTATGATTGTATCTTGCCCTGCAAAAGCAATCTGTTCCAATTCCAATCAGAGAGATGAAGAGAAGAGACAGGTAAAATTGTTCACTAAACTGACCTGAACTGGAAGGTTATGTTTTGATGCTATTTCCCTGAATATGAAGGATGTGACAACATTGGTTGCATAGCGTTGGTTTGCGTTGGTTTTAATGACGAGTCCTCCATGTAGTTTGGGTTGATGGTTTGTTTCATGCTTCTCCTGTAAGAAATTAGGTCTTGATTAGGAGCAACAATTTGAATTGTTGGCAAAAGTAAATCAAGGCAAATAAGAAGACGTACCATGTAATTTGGGTGTAGTGCATGTGCCATATCAGCAGATACAAGGAAGCTTCTTTGCACCGCTTTCTCCAGAAGCTAAAACAAATCACCATAAGGAAAACTAATTAAATATTGAAATCAGAGTGTGGTTTTCCCACTTTCCACCGTTGAAATATCTAGAATGCTAAATTGTGGAATGTTGCTGTAAATTACGAGGGCTGCCCAACCACAGCCCCTACCTAGATTTAGCTCACTAAATAGTAGTAGAGTCATCCATGTAGATATATTTCGAAGGCACCAAAGAAGGGTAAAAAGATTTTTAAAAAAATTACGTTGGAACTTGTGCTGAAGGAATTGGTAACCCTAGTCACAGCATTTAGCATAACAGGAGAACCAGCTCCTTGTGCAGAGTTTGATCCAACTTCCTCATGGTCAAACAAAGCCACCATTCTAACTCCCGTCTCTTCCTCAAGACTGCTGTCAGAGGATGTAGCATCTATTAATGCCTGAAATAGGAAACCAAGATGTCAGCATAGGATAATCAACAACTACCACATTATTTAAAAAATTTACACATCATGCATACAGATTACAGACTTTCTAATTTTCTGGTAGATAGTCACATAATCTTAATTCTTGGATAAAGTCCCAAAATGCTGAAGTCTGGTGAAAAAAAAAAAAA